TGATATTTACATAACACAAAATTAAACACTGTAGAGGGTGCAATGCAGTGGTATTTAACCACCTCTATCTAGTTCCAAAACATTTTCATCTCCCCGAGAGAAATCCCTGAACCTGTTATGTAGTCATCTTCTATTGCCCCCTCCTCTTCTCACTACCCCCCTCCCCCAATCATCCTTTTGTCCCTATGGATGTACCTATTCTGGACATTTCATATGAATGAAATTGTACAATATGTGGCCTTGTGTGTCTAGCTTCCTTGGCTTAGCGTAGCATTTTTGAGGCTCATCCAACGCGATGGCGTGTATAAGTACTTCAATCCTTTTTATAGATGAGGACTATGTCGTTGTACGTGTATGAGACAATTTGTTTAGAGATTCATCTGTTAATGGACATTTGGGTTGTTTCTCCTTTTGGCTATTGTGAATAAAGCTGCTACAAACATTCTTGTACAAATATGTATTTGAGTCCTCGTTTTCAATTCTTTTGGGTATATTCCTAGGAGTCTAATTGGTGGGTCGCTTGGTAATTCTATGTTTAACTTTTGGGGGAACTGCCCAACTGTTTCCCGTAAGAGCTGCACCATTTTACATTCCTGCCAATACTGTATGAGGGTTCTAATGTCCCACATCCTTACCAACACTTGTCACTTTTTTTTTTTTTAATATATCCATCCTAGTCTCTGTGTTGTGATATCTCACTGTGGTTTTTATTTGCATTTTCCTAATGATTAACGTTAGACATTTTTTTCATGTGCTTATTGGCCATTTGTGTTTCTTCTTTGTATGTCTATTCAAATTCTTTACTCATTTTAAAATTGGGTTGTCTTTTTGTTACTGAATTATAAGGGCTCTTTGTACATTTTTGGATACTAGACCCTTCTCCGATACATGATTTGCAAATATTTGTACTGTTGCAAATATTTGTACTGTTGGTTGTCTTTTCAATTTTAATGTCCTTTGATGCATAGAACTTTTCAATTTTCATGAAGTTCAATTTATGTATTTTTCTTTTGTTG